ACAAAACAAAAACATGACTCTGTCCTTATTTAATTTCAAGCCTGCTTTGTTTGAAACTGATTTCAGGTCTAAAGATTTGGTAGGTAGCATCCTATTATAAAACAAAGCAGATTATTGTAGTTGTACATCTGCTTATCATAGTAACCTTCCCTTTCAATGACAGATTGAAATATCTTAAGAAACTGTAGAGCATTTATAATATCACATGATTTTGACTTGCCATCTATTGTTATTTCCCCTATATCATGACATTTTTGCCAGTGCCAAAGCCATCCATCTATCAGTGGCACAAAATTTACCTTCTTAGGTCGTGAAATATTTCTGAGCTTACATCTTCAAAGCAGGTTCTGACACTGGTGAACTTCAGCTACAATTCTGAACAAACCACGTGTATAAACAGTTATCCTCTGTCTCATTCTTGAATAGACTTGTCTTCTTCCTTTTCAGTCTTGGAGTTTTGTCTAACTTGTCTGAAAATGAATGTAGCCTTCCTTCTGTTATACATCCAAAATACTCAACTCTCTTTGAATTTGTGCTTTTAAAACCCCTCTTTTTAATTGTTCAGTAATTGTTAATTTTTCCTTAATGGTGTATGACTTGCTCTTATTTAGGTTCACCATTACTCGTTAAAAAAATCTGATATAATAATGCAGGACAGTTCTACATCTGTAGACCTTGCACAGTGATCAGATAACCACAATACAAAGAGGCCACTAAAGACACACAGTGGAGGGTTCCTCATTGGGCAAGTCCAATGTAAAAAGTAGGGGGAGGAAGAAAGACACATGGCATAAGCAATGGTGTTATAACTGGGTGCACTTTACTTGAAGGCCATGTCTGAAACCCACAATGTTTCCTTCACAAAAGAAACACTTGTGAAGCAGTATTCTTTAATTACTTAGTCATGCCATCCTGTTATCTGTGTGATAGATTTCAAATCTAAATGCAATAATCCATTTTCAGTAAGCAATAACAAGCTCAATAAATTGAATATTAATAGTTTCATTACGGTGAAACAAAAACACAACATATCAAGTTACTTCTACATTGTACCAGATATCATACAGAATAATAATATATAATATAATAATAAAACATGCACCATGAACAATTATGTATAAACAGGTTGTAATTGAAGTAAAGCCTAAAGGGAAAAAAAAATGCATTTCAACCTGAAAAAAACACCCACTACCTTTTAGATCGTTATATGAGCCACTTTGCCACCGTTAAAAAATGTAAAAATTTTAAATTTTGTCTTGAGAAAACAATAAAATGTTAAATTTATACCTTTGCAAGGTCTACAGATGTAGAACTGTCCTGCATCATATACCTTTTAGATCATATCTCCACTATCTCTTGACCGATTTGGCCTCGGAGGTCAAACTCTTTCGGATGATGTATTTGACC